ATATATATATATATATATATATATATATATATATATATATATATATATATATATATATATATATATAAAACCAAACGTTTTTGGGCTTTGTAAATGATAATTTCCTGAGATACTGCGTTGGGGCTTCAGTAACTGAGTCATTTATAACAAAAATAAACAGAAACAAACGCTGGAAACGCTCTAAATGTTTCTGACTTATTGAAGCTGTTTTGTCAAAGTTCACAGGAAAGAAAAAACAACAACCAAAAACCAATAAGCTGAGAAATGTGTTTACACTCCTGAGGATGTTGGTTTACCTGCGCAGCGCCGCGCGCCCAGCAAGGCGACCGCGGCGACAATAACGGACCATAAGAACAACATCATCGACTGAAGTCACCAGGAAAAACACATGAGTCTCACATTGCAGCGAAGCCCGACAGTTTACCTTAAAATAAATAAAAATAAAGTTCAAACAAGCGGTACATAAGCACGTTTTCTAAAAGGTTAAGTGAATTTATTTAAAGTGTTCCTCCAATGAAAGGTGACAGAAATGAGGATTAAATCATCTCTAAAACTCACCAGAGTCGCATCCCAGCCTCCTGTCCCCCTTTAGATCCACTAAATGATTCCTGGAGCTTGACTGTTTGTTCACATCTTCACTCAGAGGCTGCCTCTGCTGAAGTGACAACCTTTAGCCAAGTGCAGTGCGTCATAGTGCATCAGTGATGGTGACACAAACACTGAGCACACCCAGCCTCACCATCAAAAACCCAGCAAACACTGCGCACACCCAGCCTCACCATCAAAAACCCACCAACTGAAAATTACACAGGGCAAATACTCACACAGAGCCAGGCAAAGTCCAAAAGTTACTTGGTTTTAGGAGAATTATAGATTTTTTTATGCATACAGAAGCAGATTAATGTAATTTCAGCCCTTATGGAAATCATTTATTTGATATATTTCTTAGTATTTGCCAGAATTAAACATCAATATTAATATTTATAATGGTCTGAAACACTATTTATCTGCTGTGTATTTGGTAATACAGGCGACTGAAGTATGTCACATCCTGTGTTTTTATTTATTCATTTCTATTTGCTACACAGTCTGGATTGTTTCAAACATGAACCTCAGAAGAACTATGCATCCTCACATTTTCCACCCAGCCTACAAGTGTCGCTTTTACAATGACATGCCCATGTGGTGAAGCCTGGGACTCCCCCCGCACCACCTGAACTTCTTCAGAGCTTGTGGTGAATGAAAAGCAATATTAGCTACCATGACAGACTTTTTAATGCAGGACTAAAATCTGCCAGCTGTCTTTGTCAGTTACTCACATAAGAAAATCTGATTGAGAAGGAGGAAGTGAGACAGCTCTCAGGAAGAGATAAAAACCTACAGTGCTGCAGGTGGTGTTTGAATTAGTAGGACTGAGGGTTCAGGAAACCATCGCTGTATTAGCAGGGGAAGCCTCACTAACTATTGCCTGGGTGTGTTTTGGAATCATTTCCTCTCCTAGCGCCACTTCATTGGTCAAAAACCTCAAGGGCCACTAGGATTTCAATTCAATTCAGTTTTATTTCTATAGCGCCAATTCAAAATACATGTCATCTCAAAGCACTTTACAGTTCACCAGATCATCCAGTCAAATTGATTCAAAGTTTTCTATCTAAGGAAAACCAGTTGATTGCATCGACTCATTGACTATCCCTCACACTAAGCATGCTTATAGCGACTGTGGAGAGGAAAAACTCCCTTTTAACAGGAAGAAACCTCCAGCAGAACCAGGCTCAGTGTGAGCGGCCATCTGCCGAGGCCCACTGGGGTTCAAGGAGACAGAAGCAGAGATACAAAAAGGCTACTGTAAAATTCGGCCCCATCCAGGAAACACACAGCCA